GGGGGGGGGCGGGTGTCTGCCGGTGGCACAGGCTGTCCAGTGGCTGGCTGGTCAAGGCCCAGGGAAAGGCTGGGGAGAAGGGAGGGGCACTAAGGGGGTAGGGACAGCGGAGGCAGAGCAGGTTAGTCACAGCCAGGCTCAGGGCAGACACTTGCTCCCAGCACCCTCCACCCCCACCCCCAGGACCACACTGGCTTTGGCTCAGGGAACTTGGCCTGGAGGAAGACCCCAGGGCCTTCCCTCTTCAGGGGGTGGAACTAGAGGAGTGGGCATCGGGCATCCCCCACCCCAGGCTGGAGTCGAGGCCACATTCAGTGGTGGGGAGAGCAAGGCAGCAGGGGAGTCCCCAGAAAAAAGGGAGGCTCCCCTGCTCCCAACCACAGGGGAACAAAAGGCGGGCAGCATGGGGGGCTGGGTGGGGGCGGGGCAGCGGGGCGCCTGGGCGCCAGGGCTAGCCCTCTGCTGGCCCAGAAGGGAAGTGCAGGGCACCCAAGCGGCCTGGAAGCCGCAGCAGGAGGGACAGCAAGAGAGAGCTTTCGCCACCTCGGGAACATAAACTGAGGGGAGTGGGTGGGGGGGCACAGCAGTCCCGTTAGGTTGGGCTGAGCATCTCCAACTCTCTGGACAAAAGGGTGCCAGCCTAACCTCCCTCAGGCAGAACCCCATTAGTGGGCGTAGCTGGGTAGAGGGTGTCTGAACATCCATGCTCCTCTGGGAGCAGAGAGGGGGTCCCCCCCCACCCCGACATCGGGGGTCCTGGGACATGCTCTCTGCGAATGAACAGAGGCAAAATGCAACAAGTGCAAGTTCTAACGGATCCGATGAGGGGAACTGGTGGGGTTCACCTCAGGGGCACAACTCCTTGTCCAGATGCCCCCCACCCCCCACCCCAAGCGTGCCCCTTCCCCACCCCATCCCTCATCCAAAAGCCCGAGAGACTCACCATCTTGGTTGCTGTGCAGCTCTCCGCCTTCTACGGTGGGCGCCGCCTGGGACCACTGAGAAAGAAAGGTGGAGGCATGGGCGGGGGCAAAGCGGCCCTGCTCCCTCCTGGGATCACACCCACCCAGCCATGGCCTCTGGCTTTTCCCAGGCCAAAGCCAGGCTCTCCTTCGGACTCAGCAGCCTGCCCCGTACTCCCAGCCTGCTCCCATTCTGAGTCCAAGGATTGGGTTAAAGACTGACCAGAGGTAGGAGGGTGAAGAGCTCACACCCATGAGATGACTCCCCCACCCCACCCCTTCCTCGGAGCTCCCACCCTTTACTCTCAGGGTTCCACAGCTGCACTCAGACAAATGAACCTCCTCAGGCTCCCCCAGCGCCTGGTCCAAAGCCACCGGGAGGTATTAGGGTCACACAGGAGGACAAGTTTGGACTGGGGGCGAGAAGAACAACATGGTGACCTTCTCCTGCTGACATGACAAATACCAGGGTGAGCTGGTGCTGGCGAGGGAGGGGGTGCAGAGGACCGAAGGGCATCCACCACCCTCCCCCACCCAGCCTCCTGCGAGTCGTCAGAACAGTACAGAGCCACAGGTTGTCTAAGAGACTTAAAGACCTGGGAGGGAAGTCTGGGGGCAGAAGAGGAACCCCATTCTCACCCCTGCCCAGACCTCCCCGGAACCCGACTGTGTTTCCCAAGGCTCCCACCTCCCACTCCCACTCCATCCCCAGTGGCTTGTCCCTCCTGGACCCCCTTCACACCAGGGCACCTGCCTCAAATGCAACCAGGGAAGCCCTATGCCTTTCCGATGCCCAACCCCTAGGGGGCCCCCTGCCCCACCGAGGCCAGTGGCCTCCCTCACTCCGTCCCCACCCCCACAGGCTTATTCCTCCCCTCCCCAGAAGCTGTGAAGGTCAACAAGCCTGGCCATGTGGAGCTGACCCAGCCTTGCAGTCAACAGCTTCTCCCAGCCCTTCAGAGTCTCCACGCTGAGGTCCCTTCCCACCGGCTCCTCTCACGGTGCAACCCCCAGGGCGCAGCGCTGCAGCCGAGCTCCCGGAACTCCAGTACCCCAAAGAGAGGGAGCCCCTCATCTGCCTCTCTCACACACACACACACACACACACACACACACACACACACACACACCCCTAGGCACTTCAGAACCAATGCCCTGGGCCAAAGCCAGAGGAAACCCCTCAAGGAAAAGTTGAGTTTCCAGGTTCCAATGGGACCCCTTTCCCTTGCAGCTCCCTCAAGGAGCCCGCTCCCGAGTCCCCACCTCTGCCCCTCACCCATCTCCATAACACCCCCTCTCTTCTCCCTCAACCCACCCACCCACCCCTGCCACCTTCTCCCACTACTCTCCACTCCTCCTGGGCTCCAAGAAGAATAAAGACAAAAACTTCACACACACCCCAAAGGCTAAGGGACAACAAGAGGGGTGGTTCTTGGCAGGGAGGGGCCAGGTGCCCTTCTCTGGGGGCCTCTGAAGGTCATACTGTGGCTGGACAGCCACTCCTCCCCACTACCGGCCACCCCTCCAACCCAGAGGCCTGGTGCCAAGACCTTTGTGCCAGGGTCTGTCTGAGGAGCTCTGGATGGCAGCAGGGACCCTTGCCCATTGCCCTCCTTCTGTCTCCTCTCCAAGAGGACTTTGTGGCCAGAGTGGGGTCTAGGAGAAGAGAGGATGGGAACCAACCCCCTTGATTGGCTTTAAGAAGCAAGTAAGGTGGGCAAGTTCCCTGTTGCAAAACCACCTGCTTCGGCTCCTGCGCCCTGTTCCCATACCCACTGCACCAGAACTGTGCGTTGGACGACTGGCCACTAATCTTTTCCTCTCCCGTTACCCACAGAGATCTGGGGAAAGGGGTGGGGGGTGTGCACCCAAGGTTGTGGAAGACCCTGAGTCACTTCCACAGAGGACAGAGGTGGGGCGGGGGGTCAGAAGCCCCTTCCCACAGCCCTGGGGGAGCTACTCCCAAGCAGCCGCGGTAGGGGCGAAGCAAAAGGGGGACGCTCCTCACACCTTCCCTTTAGCCACCCCCCCAAAATGCTGGGCACAGCTCCGCTGGGAAGTGTGGGGGAGGGGAGGGAGGCTGACTGTCACCGGGTCGTGACTTTAGGTAGAGTCTATACAAAGCACTGAGCCGGCGGGCTCCATCCCCGGCTCCCGACAGCGGTCTTCCGTTGCCCGGACAAGAGAAGGGCCTGGCGGAGGCTTTTCGGGGAGGGGGTGAAAATAAAGGGGTGACAGGGATTCACTCCGCTCTGGGCAGCAAATGGGGAGAGGGAGGAGGGGGTCAGTCCCCGAAATTCCCCCTAGCCCAGGAGGCAAGAGGGCCTGGGGCTGCGGGAAGGCGCGGGGGTGGTTCCCTGGGTCCCCGAGCTGGGGCTACCTCAAGAGGTCACCTTCCCGTGCAGGGCCGGC